CTTCGAACACATGCCCACCCTCGAAGGAGTGGTCGTTATATGCGACCACCCAGCCCGGAGACCTTAGTCATGGTGGGTTTTGGTCTTCACACTCGCCTACCCACGAGGAATGTTCCAAACAGGAGGCCACCTGGCCCGGAGGCACGAGTATACGACCAACCTGCGCATCCCAAGGGATGTTCCAAACAAGCGACCACCCTGCCCGAAGGCCTTAATCATGGTGGGTTTTGGTCTTCACACTTGCCCACCCACGAGGAATGTTCCAAACAGGAGGCCACCCAGCCCGAAGACGCGAGTATACGACCAACCTGCCCACCCCAAGGGATGTTCCAAACAAGCAACCACCTAGCCCGAAGGCCTTAGTCATAGTGGGTTTCTTTCTTTGAACACTTCGACCTGCCACTGAGGTCAGATAGGAACACATCGAGCAAAAAGATATGATAATAGTTGTTTCAAATGCATAATTGCGTCGAACAAGATAAAAAATATCAAATGTATTCGACCTCCCTTTCCTGGTTGTACATGACGACTTGTGCTCCAATTCTTCGACCTGCCACTGAGGTCGAAAAGGAAAACATCGAACACAACAAAATATAATAACACTCGATAATTTTGTTAGTCATCCAAATAGTAATTCAACCATGCTCATGTGAATCACAATCTCTTCAATAATTCGCCCAAAGTACTCAAACAATGAACATCTCTAAGCAATAATGTTGAAAGCCTCAACTTGTCCATAAATTGTGTAATTATCAAACGCGACCACCAAATCAAGAATTGAGAATAGTTTTGTACCTGGCGGTCGAGAATACCACTCTAAATCGTCTTACCTCTCCCAAAAAAGAATGATTTCTGCCTTTGAGATTACCACCGGTGATCGACCTCATCCATGCTCGTCCTACATTATCACCCTCCTTGATGGATCCATGCTCGTCCATTTTGTCCTCGATACCATAGCTTGTCAAGACTTGGGTTATTTTGTCGTTTCCTCGACAGAAAATCAAGATATCATCCACAAATAAATCCAATAATCGCTCGAGCAAAACAAAAATATCCACAAATGAGTTGCACATCTCCACGAACGACTCAAATAAATCCACGAATAAACCATGTAAACACGAGCAAAACAAATAATCCTCCACGAATAAGTCAAATATCACCTCGAACAAAATGAAGAGTATCTCCTCGAATAAATCAACTATCACCTCGAACAAAATAATATCTCCTCTAACAAATTACATGATTCTCCTCAAACAAATCAAGCAATCTCACGCATAATATCGAATAATATCCACGATCAAATTAAATATCATCACGACCAATCAAATAGCTACGATCGAATCAAGTAGTATCCATGAATAAGTTAAATACTGCTCAACACGAGGAAATCAAGTAATCCTCCATGAATAACTCCAATAATATCTCCTCGAACAAGTCAAATATCACCTCGAACGAAATAAATAATATCTCCTCAAACAATCAATTATCACCTCGAATAGATCAAATAATTGCCTCCAATAAGTCAAATAATTTTCACGGATAAATCGCATAATCTCATGAATTATTTAAATAACATATCATCGATCATATCAAATATCACTTCGAACAAAATAATATCTCCTCGAACAAAATAACATATCCTCGATCTAGTCAAGTAACCACATCAATTAAGTCAAATAATCATCCACAAATAAATCTCATAATCGCTCGAGAAAAAATCAAATATGTCCACGAACAAAATATATAAATGCACGAGTAAACCATGCAATCCAACACGATCAAAGCAAATAATCCTCAAGTCGAATATCACCAATTCAAATCCCCAAGCTTCCAAATTTTCCAATTTAAAACAAATAATTTGTCTATTATTTGCCAATTTAAAGATCCTCAATTCTCGATTTAAATAAGCCATGTACCTTCGCCACAAGAAATACCATGTCACATTTACTTCCTATCCCCGTGGAATCATCACGAATTGATTTTGGGCACAAAATGGGACTGTTTTTGCTCAGTGGGTCATGTTTGGTCGAAATGGGCTTGGCTGGAGGGTCTAGGAAGGTCGCAGGTGGGCT